CCCGCAGCAACCCAACCCAATCACAAACTCTCAGTCACTATGCGTCGTACAACAAATTTACACACACTAACACTAGTAGCACATTAGAGGGTGCAACACTAGTATTGCAGAGTGGTGGTGCTTTACTGTTCCTTGCTTTCAGCACAAGCCTATGCTCAGATTGCTCCGATGTTTTGAAAACAGTCCATTCCCTCTAAGGTTTATGCTGTAATTGATTTTATCTGAGCAGTAGGGATGTTCATCTGATCAGTAGTTTGCAGCACTGCCATCTCAGGAATTGTGGCACAGAGACTGGTGTATGTTGCTAGCATTGCCCGATATTCAGGTGGATATAAAAGGAAAAATGTTCAAATCTTTGTATGAAGCAGAGTCATATAAATATATAGAACAAGGAGCACCTAAAAATAGAGAGCCCTCGAAAACTGGAACATTTCTCTGCTGTTCAAGCAAAATAGCCCTGGGAGAGAAGGGCCATCATGTTGATGAATCCATGGGTCACAATTAGGTTCTTTTTTACTTGATGAACTTGTTCCAAAATTAACTTACTGCAGGCATACTAATCCACATTTTATGCAGTTTTATTAAATTCAATTTCATATCCAATTAAGTACAGCACGTTCTATGCATTCCCTTGTGAGCCACGGAAGTGATTGGATCTTGTAAAAATAGGAACAGTCAGAAAGAAAACTATCACTTTGATATTTTCACATCCAGCATCCTCATGTGCACTTACTAGTTCCCACTTAACATGAACACTGGCGGCCTGTATACTCCATTCTGTAGGGTTATGGCAGAATACAGAACAGGAAGGTGTCATTCTGCTAAGCAGCTGTCAAAGACACCATAGATCATATCACATCATACGTCATAAGGGTTGGTCTGCTGAAGAGCGCATTTAGCAATGGAGTGCTTGTAGATGTTGTAAGGGAGTAAAAAAATGTGTTTTATTAGGTGGAAAATATATAGGGCTGATGACACATGGGCGATTCTGCCACTAGAAACAAATCGCCAGCAGCAGGATTGCTAGAGGCAGCCTGTGTGTCCCTATAGAATCTCTCCATCTGTAGCCAGATGCAGTGAGATGGTGCTTTGTCAATGGACCAAATGCTGCTCAATCTTGATTGTTCGCTTTGGGAGCATCTCACTGTCTCAACTACAAAGGGAGTCATTCCATTGGGACAAACAGGCAGGATCTTAATGATCTTGTCACTGCTGATGTTGACAGATTGTCAGCGGTAGGATCACTGGTGGCAAACTCATCAACGTAATATAAAATAAAAAGATGGATTAGGGCTTATACTGGAATTAAACCCAAACCAAAAATGCATTATATTGCAGTTTACCAATTATTAGATGTGGTGGCTGCAGGGGCGGACTGACCATTTGGAAACTCAGGCACTGCCCGAGGGCCCGATGTCAGTAGGGGGCCCCATGAGATGCCCCTGGTACCTTTTTCATAGGCTTTTTTGAGTTTGGGCAAGGACACAGGGGGCCCCATGAGTTGTCAGTCCGCCCCTGGGTGGCTGCATTGTTTTTCATTACTTAGGCTTTTTTCCCCTCTGTTTTCACCTTGTGATCCGACTAGTGACACACCTCCTGTATCCACTTTGGTTGAAGGAGCACAGGGGGCACATTTGGACAGTAGCATGGTCAGTCTGGGGGAAGGGGAATGTTAGCTACAGTTGGAGATTTAGATACACTAATAAACTGAAGCCAAATTCAAGTTAATACTTTACAAGCAGTTACAGCAAACCTTCCGGGAAAAAGGTTTGAAATAAATAAATGAAAGCTGATCCCTGTAAGTACCACTGCTAGTGTTAAATAGTTTGTCTCATCTCTGTATCTGATACATCTGGAGGAGAGCTTGTAATTTTGAAAAAGCAACAGACGTACTGGCCAGATCAACAGATGAAAATAAAATGTAAAAAGCCTAAAAAAAGCAAATGAATTCAGCCATCACATGTAAGAACTGGTAAGCCCATAAGGGGAGATTTACTAAAACTGAAGAGTGCAAATGTGGTGCAGCTCTGCATAGAAACCAATCAGCTTCCAGGTTTTATTGTCAAAGCTTAATTGAACAAGCTGAAGTTATGCCGGCCATACATGGGTTGAAATTCGACCGATTTTTCGTCCGAAAATTGGACTTAAGAATAATTGGGCGATTTTCTCTGTTAGTGGGTCAATGGCAACGGCCAATTTTGCGTGGTTCCTCCCCTTTTCAGTGATTGGACACATTGGAAAATTTGTGAAAAACTACCAATTTTCGGCTCAATGATGGTCATATTGTATGATCGTTTTTCCAAAAAGAATATGCGCATGAGCCGTGATCTGGATGGAACAGAAGTTTCACCTGTTATATGGGGTGAACTTTATGCCGCCGATTTTGGTCATTGATGGCACCATCGGATTACCGAGCGAACAACATTTTCGATTTTCAGATGAAAAACCGTTCAGAATTCGAGCCATGTATGGTCTGCATTAGAATCTGATTGGCTACCATGCACAGCTGCACCAAATTCTGAGTGCACCAGTTTTAGTAAATCAACGCCACGGTGTGTCTTTTCTAGCTGACATTGGTTGTGTGGGATGGGTGATTTGTAGGAAGGTTTGGAATGTCACTGAAATATGTCTTCAGTACTGGAAACCAAATAAATAACTATAAAACTATTACTTACCAACCATACACTGGTATTGCTGGACCTCCTCCAAAACACCTATCTGCTGTTGTGATAGAATGTCTTCTTTATGATATAACGCCTTAAGGGTCAGCTCTTGAAAAATTTCACTTTCAATACTTTTTTCATTAGTCCTCATGCACACTGGGCGTTTTTACAGCTGATGTTTTTGGCTTCTAGCATTTTTTTCTACAGCCAGTAAATGCCCCAGCATGTTATCCTTTGTACCCATGCACACATAGGCTTTAATCAGCATTTTTTGGCAGGGATGCATTCTGGCTAGAAGAAAAACCCAGAATTAGTGGGTTTCAAGAGGAGGTTTTTAGCTGTAAAAATGCTATAACTCAGAAAACCTCTGCAAAACACTGGAAGAACGTTAAAAAACGTGGCAATCGGCCTTTATGAGCATTTTTGAGGCTCGTGCTTTTGTGGGAATATAGTTTTGCTAAAAAACGCAAACACTGAGAAACGCTGAAAACCGCTAATGTTTTTAATGTGGCACTCTACAGCTAATGTTACTGGCGTTTTTATAGCGTCCAGTGTGCATGAGGCCTTAGAGATACAGTTTTTTAAGGAAGAACTCCGTGCAAAATTTTTATTTTCCCATGCAGTGGGGCTTTGCCCAACAGGATGTCTCCAACTTACAAGCCAAACTCAATGCACTGTTTAATTGGGCAACTATGTGGAAAATGAGGTTGAATGTTGATAAATGTAAGGTTATGCACTTGGGGGCTAAGAATATGCATGCATCATACATACTAGGGGGGGTACAACTGGGGGAATCAATGGTGGAGAAGGATCTGGGAGTTCTGGTAGATCACAAGTTTAATAATGGCATGTAATGCCAAGCTGCGGTTTCTAAAGCGAGCAAAATCCTCTCTTGTATTAAAAGAGATATAGACTCCAGAGAGAGAGATATCATTTCCCCCGGTACAAATCATTAGTAATACCTCATCTGGAATATGCAGTTCAGTTTTGGGCACCAATTCACAAAAAGAACATTGGGGAACTGGATAAAGTACAGAGAAGGGCAACCAAACTGATAAGAGGCATGGAGGAGATCACCTATGAGGCAAAGATTAGAGGAACTGAATTTATTCTCTCTTGAGAAGAGGAGATTAAGGGGGGATATGATCAACATGTATAAATACATCAGTGGTTCATATAGTGAACTCGGTGTAGAGCTATTCACCCTGAGGTCATCACAGAGGACAAGGGGGCACTCTTTACGTCTGGAGAAAAGAAATTTAATCTCCAAATACAGAAAGGTTTCTTCACAGTAAGAGCTGTGAAAATGTGGAATAGACTCCCTCAAGAGTTGGTTCTGGCCAGCTCGGTGGATTGCTTTAAAAAAGTCCTGGATTCTTTCCTAGATACACAGAATATAACTGGACACTAACATTTATAGGTAAAGTTGATCCAGGGAATATCCGATTGCCTCTTGGGGGATCAGGAAGGAATTTTTTCCCCTGCAGGAGCAAATTGGATCATGCTTTGCTGAGTTTTTTTTGTCTTCCTCTGGATAAACTGTTGGTATTGGATTATAATTTTTTTTTTTATGGCTGAACTGAATGGACTTTTGTCTTTTTTCAGCCAGATTAACTATGTAACTATGTAATTGCTCATTTTTGCTCAGGGGATTGCAGAGCAGACCTAATCTGCCAATCGGTCCTCATCGCTCCATCCCCCCACACGCTAGCAGTCTTGTGAATGGACTGTTCCTGACGTCATCACGCCCTTAGACCAGCTCTGGACGTGAGGAGGGCCAGAAAAGTCCATCACTAGGCATGGGGGAGCATGGTTTTCTGGAGTAAATATAGCCTTTCGGTGTGCCCCTAGGCAAAATTAGCAGTTAACCCACACAGGGCAGGCACAGCCCCACTGCATGGGAGAAAATTAATTTTACATGGAGCTCTTCTTTACCAATGTTATTGAAAGTCATATATTTGTGTCAACCACCATACCACCGACTTATTATAAGACCATGGGCATATTTTCATTTGTAGTAAACAAGTACAGCGAGAGTGCATGGCCCACAGTAGGGTCTCTGTAATGGAATAGAAAGGAAATATAGGATAGATAGAAATTATGAGAACATAGGGGGATAGGGGGAAGCAGGGGCTAAATTGATATTTTAACAACAGAACTGCCACTTCCAGCTGTGGCTGCACCCAATGCATGCGCAAGTTTGATCATATCATTCACAGACTATATATTGCAGCGCACAATGGACAGGAGGTCTGTAAATACTATCCAGCGATGGGTTCTGGAAAAGACAGAACATTTATGAAACAGTAAATCTTCTTTTATGTATTCTGTTTGCAGTGTCGTCTGTATGACCTTCGGGCAGATAGAGAAGTAGCCATCTATTCTAAGGAAAGCATCATATTTGGAGCATCGAGTGTTGATTTCTCCTTGAGTGGTGAGAATGTCATCCCAATATTTGAATACATAGGGGTATTAACAACTTGTAAGGCTAATTGTCCTACTACATTTACATTTGTTCTGCGCAAATGGGGACAAAATCAAATGTGATCAGGTAATCTCTTCCAAGTCAAATGTTCTTCATTCTTAGAAAAAAAAAAAAAGGTGGTTTGTGAAAATACCACATTATGGTCACAGGATGGCGCCAATGATCATAGAAAATAAGCATCTATTTCCTATGATCATGAACTTCCTCTAGTGGCCATAGTGTGGTATTTTCCTGATTTATTCTACTTTGTGTGAGTGAATAACATTCGACCTGGAGAAAAAATAGCCCAGTAACAATTTACAAGACTCTGGTCCGGCCACATGTTGAATATGCCCTCCAGTTCTGGTCACCAGTCCTCAGAAAGGATGTACTGGAACTGGAGAGAGTCCAGAGAAGAGTGACAAAGCTATTAAGGGCACTGGAGGACCTCAGTTATAAGGAACAACTACAAACATTAAACTTGTTCTCCCTGGAGAAGAGACACTTCAGAGAGCATATGATAGCGATACAAATACCTCAATGGTGATTCTAGGATAGGGAAGAAACTATTCAGTTCATGAAGCTTAAGAAAACACGCAGCGACTCATTGAAATTGGAGGAGAAGTTCAGCCTTAAACTGCATAGCGGGTTCTTTACTGTTAGAGCGGTAAGGATGTAGAACTCCACAAACAGTGGTGTCAGTGGGAAGTTTTGATAATCAACAAAAACTCTTAACCTTTCCCTGTCCTTAAGATGTACATTTGTCCCGGGAACAAACAGTGATGATTCCAGTATCAAAATATGCAGCCAGCAATGGGCTTTCCTGTAAAAGTGATCCATGTGGCTCTTCAGCTGCCTGGTCACTTCCACAGGGCACGGAAGGGGTCCCCCTCCCCCCTGACGCGGCCCACCGCTGTTCCCAGGCTCTCCAGTGTAATTGGGAAGTCCGGGACTGCTGCTTCCTATCTGGCTAGCTGAGCACAGCTGAAAAGGAGGTACATCCATACTCATCCCTCTTCTGTGACAATTGAAACCAGAAATGACAAGAATTCATCCCTTCTGGTTTTGGTTTGTGTTGTTTGAAAGCCATTACCAGCTTGTAAAGCATCTCATCAAAGTGATCTCAGTTTGAAAAGATGCTTTTGAGGGCAGAGAAGAGATCTGGTGTATAATAGACTCCAGATCTCTCCCTAAAGAGTACCTGTCACTGCCCTTGCTATCACAAGAGATGTTGTTCATCCTTTGTGATAGCAATAAAACTGATAAAAAAAAAATTAAAATACAGCAAGCATGCATGAGTGCCCCTAGAGCAAGAGGTTTGCTATGGGGGCACTCGGCAGAGGGGATGTGCCAGGAGTATCGGCAGGGGACCTGAGAAGAAAAGGACCGGGGTTGCTCTGTGCAAAAAATTTGCACAGAGCAGATAAGTATAACGTTTTTCATTTTAAAAAACAACAACTTTTTAACGCTCCTCTTGAAGTCTGTGGGGCCAAAAATGTACCAAAAGAAACACCTGAACCTTTTTCAAAGTCACAAGTTGCATAGGTATGAATGAGCCCCACAGACAATAATGGGAATCCTGTTGTTGTGCATTGTTGTGCAAACTCCAAGGTGCAAAAAAAACGCAGGTGTGAATGAGGAATAAGGACCTGTTCACACTTGTCTGTTTTGATGTAGCAAAACTCTTGCACTTTGCTGCCTAAAAATGCAGGTCAAGTGAAAATCTTATTATTTCCTATGTGGCTGGTTCACATCTATACACTGCAGTCTAATGACACTCTACACTGAGAGCACCCCGCTTCCCCCCAACAATAGAGGTATACAACTAATGAGATGTAAGCTGGTTTTGTTTGTTCCATGCACCGTAATAGGTTTTATGGGAAATGGAAGATTTTGCTGGAAGCTGACACCAGCAGTGAAGTCAATGTTGTGAAGTCAGCTGTGCTGCTACGTGGTATTCAGAGATTCTCGCTCGGCTTTGTGCTGTGAGCTCATTGTTCAGAAAACTATCTTTAGCAATTGCATGCAGTAAGCATTCTGTTCCCTTCATGATATCATCTGTCAACAGTTTGATCAGAGCAAGGAACAGGCAGCTGATTTGTATATAGAGTGCAGCTAAACCCATTCACAATGATGTTAATGCTGAATCTGAGTCCAGGTGATGTGTTCTGCATCACCATCCTCTGCAGTCTGTCTGAGCCTCTATACCTTTTTCCTGTTTGATTACAATCAAGAAATTTTCAAGGAAATGGTACGTTTTTCCATAACCATGTGTCATGCAGTCCAAGTTAAATGAACCTGTGATTTGTCCAGGCAGGGCAAAGAATTGAACAGTAACCAGGAACTCAAATCTCTTTTGCTGCACTCTAAATGGAATCTTGCACTTGCTGAGGTGCCGCCCTTGGTAGATCGGGGAATCTTGATGCTAGCAAAAAAAGAACAAAACAGGGCGCACTCTCCGTGTGCATTTATGTAATAATGTGAAATTTATTTTAAAAAGCAAAAACATACTCACAAGACAAAAAGGTCAGAAATACTGAGACAAGAAGTCAAAGGATGCCAGTCATGGACAGCATGGGTCTTCGGGTAAAGTGCTAATGCGTTTCGGGAGTCGAACTCCCTTCCTCAGAGCAATAGATGAAAATTAAGATGTCTTGTGAGTATGTTTTTGCTTTTTTAAATACATTTCACATTATTATGGTAATGCACAAGGAGAGTGCGCCCTGTTTTGTTCTTTTTTGAGGGCAAAGAAGTGGGTTTATTTAGGGGTCTGTTTATACAAAATTCACTGTCAAGCATTTGCACATGAATGATGACCTTAATTTGTCTCAAATGGTTATTTCCTATGATTGTTAGCACCATCTAATGGCCAAAATGTAGTATTTTCCTGAAATATCTCAATCAGGAAAATACTGCATTATGGCCATTAGATGGAGCTGACAATCATAGGAAATAAACATATTAGGCATATTACAGTGATTATTTGTGACAATTTTTTTGCAACTAGACCCCTAAAGTGTATTTCCCCTTTTGCAGTCATAAGAAAACCCGACTATATGTTTGGTATGTGTTCCCATTTACGAATCATTCCTGAAAGATGTTTTAAAAACATTTTTTAGCTTTTAGATGTTTTTCAGGAAACAAAAAGTCATGGCAGTCTGCAAGCATTTATGAACAATGTCCAAATCAGTCTGTCCAAAGTGAAAGGCTTCTGACAGACTGAGTCTCCTCTCATTAATATTAGAAGCTATACATGAAACCCAGCTTCTAAGCTCTATTAAACCCAAAAACAAACATTTATTTTGCTGCAGTTTATCCAATTCTTAGATGTGATGGCTGTATTGGTTTCCCTTTTTTAGGCTTTCTTTCCTTTATTTAAACCTGGTGATCCTGCCAGTAAGTCTGGTATTTTTCAACAGAACAAGCTGTCCTGCAGATGTAGCAGTTAGAGGGTTCAGACAAACCATTTAACACCGGCAGGGTGCTTACAATGGCTAGATTTTATTCATTCATGTAAAAGCCTTTTCCCAAAAGAAACAAAAACTGTTTGCTATAACTGCTTATAACGTGTTAGTCTAGGTTCACACCTATGCGTTTCTGCTGCATTTTGCAGAAACGCACAGATTCACATCTCCACATTTTCACCCCTTGCGTTTTTTAGAAAGGATCAGGGACTTTTTTAAACGCAAAACGTTGCATTTTTGGTTTCATGGACTTCAATGGAGACACTGCAGAAAATCACGTAGTGTGTTTTTGATGTGTCAAAAATACATGTGCAAAAATGCAAAAAGCACTGCAAAACGCAGTGCAGAAATGGTTCAAACACTTCAGTTTGTTATTGCAACTAAATCTGCTAGTTCATCAAACACTCCCCTCCCTGCAGACTGACAGTGCTGCTGTCCAAAGGTGCCCCTATGCTCCTTCATCCAGAGTGGGGCAGAGTGAGTCTAATACAGGAGGTGTGTTACTGACCAGATCACCAGGTAAAAACAGAAGAAAAAAGCCAAATAAAAGAAAACTATTGCAGCCACCACATCTAATGATTGGTAAGCTGCAATATGTTAAATTTTTGGGTTTGGGTTTAATACTGCTTTAACCCTTTGTTAGAACAAACTGTATTCAATTCTAATTTACAACTGACAATGAGATCTGCCAGCAAAGTACAGAAGGGGATAATTATGGGAAACACAGCTCCCCTCCATAAACAAACAGAACTAAGATATTTCAGTACTGGAGTTATCAGAAAAGAACATCTAAAATGGTAAGCTGCAATTTTTAAAAATATGATGTATTATGCTTTGTGAATGAGAACATACAGTCAGGTCCATAAATATTGGGACATCGACACAATTCTAACATTTTTGGCTCTATACACCACCACAATGGATTTGAAATGAAACGAACAAGATGTGCTTTAACTGCAGACTGTCAGCTTTAATTTGAGGGTATTTACATCCAAATCAGGTGAACGGTGTAGGAATTACAGCAGTTTGCATATGTGCCTCCCACTTGTTAAGGGACCAAAAGTAATGGGACAGAATAATAATCATAAATCAAACTTTCACTTTTTTAATACTTGGTTGCAAATCCTTTGCAGTCAATTACAGCCTGAAGTCTGGAACGCATAGACATCACCAGATACTGGGTTTCATCCCTGGTGATGCTCTGCCAGGCCTCTACTGCAACTGTCTTCAGTTCCTGCTTGTTCTTGGGGCATTTTCCCTTCAGTTTTGTCTTCAGCAAGTGAAATGCATGCTCAATCGGATTCAGGTCAGGTGATTGACTTGGCCATTGCATAACATTCCACTTCTTTCCCTTAAAAAACTCTTTGGTTGCTTTTGCAGTATACTTTGGGTCATTGTCCATCTGCACTGTGAAGCGGCGTCCAATGAGTTCTGAAGCATTTGGCTGAATATGAGCAGATAATATTTCCTGAACACTTCAGAATTCATCCTGCTGCTTTTGTCAGCAGTCACATCATCAATAAATACAAGAGAACCAGTTCCATTGGCAGCCATACATGCCCACGCCATGACACTACCACCACCATGCTTCACTGATGAGGTGGTATGCTTAGGATCATGAGCAGTTCCTTTCCTTCTCCATACTCTTCTCTTCCCATCACTCTGGTACAAGTTGATCTCGGTCTCATCTGTCCATAGGATGTTGTTCCAGAACTGTGAAGGCTTTTTTAGATGTCGTTTGGCAAACTCTAATCTGGCCTTCCTGTTTTTGAGGCTCACCAATGGTTTCCATCTTGTGGTGAACCCTCTGTATTCACTCTGGTGAAGTCTTCTCTTGACTGTTGACTTTGACACAAATACACCTACCTCCTGGAGAGTGTTCTTGATCTGGCCAACTGTTGTGAAGGTGTTTTCTTCACCAGGGAAAGAACTTTTCGGTCATCCACCACAGTTGTTTTCCGTGGTCTTCCGGGTCTTTTGGTGTTGCTGAGCTCACCGGTGTTTTCCTTCTTTTTAAGAATGTTCCAGACAGTTGTTTTGGCCACGCCTAATGTTTTTGCTATCTCTCTGATGGGTTTGTTTTGTTTTTTCAGCCTAATGATGGCTTGCTTCACTGATAGTGACAGCTCTTTGGATCTCATCTTGAGAGTTGACAGCAACAGATTCCAAATGCAAATAGCACATTTGAAATGAACTCTGGACCTTTTATCTGCTCATTGTAATTGGGATAATGAGGGAATAACACACACCTGGCCATGGAACAGCTGAGAAGCCAATTGTCCCATTACTTTTGGTCCCTTAACAAGTGGGAGGCCATATGCAAACTGCTGTAATTCCTACACCGTTCACCGAATTTGGATGTAAATACCCTCAAATTAAAGCTGACAGTCTGCAGTTAAAGCACATCTTGTTCGTTTCATTTCAAATCCATTGTGGTGGTGTATAGAGCCAAAAATGTTAGAATTGTGTCGATGTCCCAATATTTATGGACCTGACTGTATAACACATATGAAGCAGGTGTGTTATCCCAATTTGAATGTAAAAGTGGAAGTACACTTTAAATGATGATACCATTCCTTCCCACCGCCCGCTGCTTATATTTACCGCCCCTTTGAACCTTCTCCCTGTGTAAGCTCCAAGTCAATCAGGTTGCAGCTTATCCAGGACTAAGGACTCTCACCCCACTACCACATATCAGTACTTTGGCCTGGCAAATGGCACCCAGTGCTACATCATGACAGGAGAAGGGGAGAGCCAAATGTGCTCCACACAGAACCAAGAAATTCTATTCATTACAACAAATGCGTGACACAGCGAGCAATGTAAAGGAAAGGAGTGTGTTTTGCAGTAGGGTGCTAATGTTTTAGAAAACCTGTTGCCAGGGGTGGGTTGACAACTCATGGGGCCCCCGGACAATAGGGGTTCATGGGGCCCCTGTGTCCACGTCCACACTCAAACCACACCCAAAAAAAAGCCTATGAACGGTACCAGGGACATCTCATGGGGCCCCCTACTGACCCCGGGCCCACGGGCAGTGCGCAAGTACCCGAATGGTCAGTCCGCCCCTACCTGTTGCTATATCTTGCATGTGCAAACTAATGCTTGCATGCTATTATGCACAATGAGGGGAATGAACAAAGAGGGGGGCAGGCATAAAGCTTGCACCACGCTGCAAAACTGAGAAAAAGGAGCAGAATTTGTTTCTAATTGACAAAGGGATTGCAAGGGTGGATACACAGCATTGAGAGCAGGAGCGCTGGATCTAGTTGCTTGTTTTCCCCATGCTTGGTTGACATGGAGAAGGAAGGCTGTTAACCCTGCATTTGCTGGGAGCTTCCCCTGCCCTTGTAGTGTGTGCAATGCATTAGCAAAGCGAGGCATGTGAGCTGTACTGCAGGCCATAGATGGGTCGAAAATCGGCCGATTTTCGGATCGTTAGCAGGCTATTTGTTCGGCCGTTTTTCGGTATTTTGGCAGATTTTTTTTTATCGGTAAAGTTGAAAAAAATCGGCCGATTTTCGCGGCAATGATGGGCAAATCGGCCGATTTTTTACCGATAAAAAATCTGCGCATGAGCAGTGACCTGCAAGAGGAAGACAAAAAGAAGAAAAAAGAAGAAGAGGATGAAGAAGAAGAAGAAGAGGATGATGATGAAGAAGAAGGAGAGAGGATGATGATGAAGAAGAAGAGGATGATGAAGAAGAAGAAGAAGAAGAAGAAGAGGATGATGATGAGAAGAAGAAGAAGAAGAGAAGAAGAAGAGGATGATGATGAAGAAGAAGAAGAAGAGGATGATGAAGAAGAAGAAGACGAAGAGGATGATGTTGAAGAAGAAGAAGGAGAGGATGATGATGATGATGAAGAAGAGGATGATGATGAAGAAGAAGAAGAGGATGATGATGATGAAGAAGAAGAGGAAGAAGAAGAGGATGATGAAGAAGAAGAGGATGATGAAGAAGAAGAAGAAGAGGATGATGAAGAAGAAGAAGAAGAGGATGATGATGAAGAAGAAAAAGAGGATGATGATGATGAAGAAGAAGAGGATGATGATGAAGAAGAAGCAGGAGAGGATGATGATGAAGAAGAAGAGGATGATGATGAAGAAGAAGATGAGGATGAAGAAGAAGAGGATGATGATGATGAAGAAGAAGAAGAGATGATGATGAAGAATGATGATGATGAAGAAGAAAGAAGAGGATGATGATGATGAGAAGAAGAAGAGGATGATGATGATGAAGAAGAGGATGATGATGAAGAAGAGGATGATGATGATGATGATGAAGAAGAAGAAGAGGATGATGATGAAGAAGAAGAATGAAAAATAAGAGGAATTCCAGTACGGCAAAAAGTGTCCCTGCAGAGAGCTCCGCTATTTCTTTGACAGTTCTTTGACATTTACAGCGGGTTGCAACAATGTATCTATGTGTTTCCGAATAAAAACATCTGTATCCTAAATGGATACAAATAGATACATTGTTGCAACCGCTGTAAATGTCAAGGAACTGTCAAAGAAATAGCAGAGCTCTCTGCAGGGACACTTTTTGCAGGCTGTAGACGGGATGAAAATTGGCCGATTTTTTTTTTTTTTTTTTTTTTTTTTTTTTTTTACCATTGCTGGTAACGTCGGCCGCTTGAACGACCGATTTTTCGTTTTTTAAAAGAAAAATCGAACCGTTTTTCTCCCCGTCTATGGCCTGCATTAGTCCTCATGCACACGGGACATTTTTACAGCTGCTATTTTTGGCTTTTGACGGTTTTTTTTTCTACAGCCACTAAACTCCCCAGCATGTTATCCTATGTGTCCATGCACACATAGACTGTAATCATTGCTTTTTGGCTGGGACGTGTTTTGTCTGGAAAAAAACCCAGAACTAGTGGGATTCTGGAGAAGTGTTCTAGCTGTAAAAATATTCTAACGCTGAAAAACGCAGTAAAACGTGGTAAACTGCCACAAACTGACATTTTTGGACTGTTTTTTGACCAATAAAAAAATTTTTTTTGGTAAAAAAAACACTAAAAAATACAAACGCGGAAAAATGTGGGAAAATGCAGCTAAATGCTAATGCAAAAATGCTGAAATACGTTTTTAATGTGACTTTACACAGCTAACTTTACCAGCATTATCAAAACATCCAGTGTGCATGAGGACTTAGGTTACCAGGGGACAGGTAGAGTTGCCACCTCATCCCTTTAAAACAGAACACATATTAATTACACAAGTTCTGTGGCTGATTAAGGAGGTAATTAAACTCACCTAGTGCCTTATCTGCATTAAATCAGCCTCAGAACCTGTGTAATTTAATACGTGTCCTGTTTTTTTTGTTTACAAACGGTTTTATTGTTCAAGGGTAGACTTTAAAGCAACAGTACAGTTACAAGTAATGCGTACATTAGTAACAAGGCACATTTGAAAAGAACATTTCAGAAGAGTACACATACGTAAAAAAGATGGATAGGGAGGAAAAAGAAAGAGAAAAGATTTCAAGTACATGAATAACGTAAACGATAAAGTGGGTCGAAAGACACATCTGTCAATAGCATATGCCAAATAACCTTCACAGGATGTTTTTTAGTCATGTAATGAATGTCTATGAACCTTCCCTAATTCCCATTTTTTATCAAACAAGTGCATCTTGCCCAGCAAAGTATAATGAATACGCTCCATAAGCATCACAGCATCAACTCTATGTAAAACGGAGGTCAAGGGTACCGTGGTGGATTTCCAATGTAGGGCAATAGCCCATAAAGTGGCAATACAAATGGTATGTATCAATCTCATAACAGCATCAGTGGCCCCCGGGATAAGAGTTCCCACTAAACAGGACTGTATAGTCAGACGTACCGGGGCCCCACCAAGGAAGCAGCTACTTCCGATATCCTACGCCAAACCAAGGATATATTTGGGCAAGCCCAAAACATGTGAAATATGTGTCCTGTTTTAAACGGATGAGGTGGAAACCCTAGGGACCTGTCACATCCCATACACCAGGTCCACTCTGTGGGGGATCTGCAGCAGTTTTTTATATTGAAAACTGCCACAATCACTTTATTATTTGGCATAGAGCCCACACCACTTTTTATTTCACTCTTAAATAGAAACTGATGTGGATGTCGCAGAGAGGCCTGAAACAGGTCAAGCATTTGTAGCCTACTAGGTAAGGGGAGGTTAATGCCTCCTCTGTAGGTCATTTGTCATTGTGTGTAGTCTGATCTCACTGCTATACAGGTGTTCCTGGTATTTAATCCTAAATTGGCAGCACGTCAAATATGTACATATAATATATTATATTTTACCAGTTAAACAAAAAAAAAAAAAACTATGCAATTGTTCCTAAATTCATCACTGTTTCTAATTTAAGGTCGCTTACTGTTTGCTGGATACAACGACTACACAATCAATGTTTGGGATGTTCTAAAAGGCAGTAGGGTGTCCATCTTGTTTGGTCATGAGAACAGAGTCAGCACTCTACGTGTGTCTCCAGATGGGACTGCATTCTGCTCAGGGTCATGGGATCACACTCTAAGGGTAAGTTTTATGTCCTGCTGAGTAAGTTTTACAAAAAATGAACCTGACCATACATAGAGTGAATCTAAGCTAGATTCTTGTGAAACGGATGAAATTCGCTCAATGGTAGCCCTGTCAGCTACCTCCTCTCCCACATCCCTTGAATGCAAAATCGAAGGAGCTGCCAGAAAATTGATGGTCGAACAGTGTCTGTCCAGTCAGGTGTGACGAGCCAGCTGTCAAAATACAATTGCAGCATCTGAGATTAGTACATCAGCACTGTGTAGTGTGGATGGAAAAATCTGTTATGTTGGATTTTTACAAGATTTTTGCTGGCAGCTATACCCGCTAGCATGATTTACTGTGTTTTTCTGGCAGGGCGGCTTCCCGCGCACACCCCCCCCTCTTTCCCGACGGGGGAACACAACAGCTTTGCAGGATGAATTCCCCCATTGACAATGACTGTGTTGATGGGGAATTGAGTGATTTTCTTTCCTGTATTATCTGTGGCTTGCCTTAGACTTCATTCTGAATAGAAAAAAAATCTATATGTGTATGACCAGTTCTAGCTCTAGCTTCTGTTAGGCATTAGTGAATAGTCTTGAGCTGATCAACATTGTTAAAATGAATATACTCTCTACTTAAAATATACTTAAAGTTTGGCTGTCTAACAAGAATAATGTAGCACACTTTAATACGACTAAGACTTTTGTAACTGTAGCATGGAATTCCTGATTAGAGGAAGCAGAACACTTCCAAATATTTGGTAGTGCCTGGGCACCCTCGTTTCCTCTAGTCCAGCTTTCTCAACCATTTTACCCTAGGGGAATCTTCAAAATAATTTTCAGATGTAGAGCAGAACTGGTTCTTCTGGGATTAGTGGGTAAATATCCTTACATTGGAGGTCAATGGGAAGAATACCCCCCTTGCAGCAGGGATCAGAATGCTACTCTTCCACAAAGCTAAAAAGAATATTGGTGTAAATCTGCTGGCTCTTTCAGGTGATGTTGGCCCTGGCAATGTTTAGGTGCCATCAAATAGAAGATCAATCACCACAGCTCATATAGCCCCTAGCAATCTCTGGAGGAGAACCTTGGTTGAGAACCACTGCTCTAGTCCCATAGAAGCCTTTCAAGCTTTTGATGGGTATTCTGTGCACACTCCTCTGATAACTGTATTACAATGATCAGGGAACTGAGTATAGAAAGAAAAATAAATAGATACAATGCACAATGAATAAAAAGGGGGCCCAGGCCTAAAAGCAGGATCAGAATTATTACTATAAGCACTATATCATTAACAAAAGACTGGTCTGATGCTGTTTGATTGGAGTCTAAGGTTACTTTAAGCCAGGGGTCTCCAAACTTTCCAAATGCAGGGCCAGTTTACTGTCTTGGGGGGGGGGGGGGGTTGACTGTGGCCAGTGGAAAATGCCCCAGCATCAGTGGGAGTGAACAATGCTTCCAGCTTGGAGATCAGTGGGAGTAAAACAATACATAATGCCTGTGGTAAGTAGGTAGATGAGTGCCCCATCATTGGTATTAATGGGAGAAATAGTGTCCCATCATTAGTATTAAAGGAGGAATAGTGCCCTATTGTTGGTATTTTATAGGAGGAAATGTGCCCCATCGTTGGTATTATGGGAAGAAAAATGCCCCATCGTTGGTATTAATGGGGGAAATAGTCCCCTATCATTGGTATTAATGGGAGGAACAGTGCCCCATCGTTGGTATTAATAGAAAGAATAGTGCCCCATCATTGGTATTCATGGGAAGAATAGTTCCCTATCGTTGGTATTAATGGGAGGAATTGTGCCCTATTGTTGGTATTAGTGGGAGGAATAGTGCCCCGTCATTGGTATCAATGGGAGGAATTGTGCTCCATCGTTGGTATTAATGGGAGGAATAGTGCCCCATCATTGGTGTCAATGGAAGAGTGGAAGGAATGGTCCTTCATCATTGGTGTCAATGGGAAGAATTACACCCCACTGTTGGTGTCAGTGGAAGGAATTGTGCCATGTTGGTATCAGTAGGAGTAACAGCACCCCATATCTGTGTGAAGAATGGCCTCCTAAGGTCCAGATAAAAGCAAGCAAAGGGCCGCATTCGTCCCCTAGGCCACAGTTTGGAGACCACTGCTTTAAACTTTATTTTAGTCTGATGTTCAAAATAGGAAATCCAGTGTCATGCGCTGGTATTGTTTTTTTTTTTTAATTAAACCTACTATATAAATAAAGATTTCAACTGATGTATTTCTTATTTCTACAGATCTGGGCATAATGCACAATTTGTGAAGAAATAACTGCAGTCTCGCAGCTTGGCAACTATATCACAGGTTTCACCTTGTGTTATATGATAAGATTTGAAATGTAACATTAGATGCTGGTTGTTTCAGAACTATGTAGAAAACAGGATGGATGCCACAAAAATAGAGCTAAATGAAGCAATCCTTATTTATTTATTGGTGGTCAGACTTGGAGAGTCCACCCAGCACTCATCACTTTCTGTAAGAGTAGGCTCCTCTGTCAGGAGGGTCAGTGTACATATTGTAAGTGCTGGTTGCATTTCCAGCGATTGATCTGGTAAGGCTTTACATTTTTTTTTAATAATTTCATACATGCAAAGCTGACCATTTTGCACTACAAAATAATCATTAAAGACATTGTCACACTCAGTATTGATGGCAATCGTCCATTGTTTACAAGTGCAAATAAGGGAATTTGTTAAAGCGTTACTAGACCAGTGAACCTGTACTAGCTATAGTACGAACTAACTGTTACTATTACACTACAATCAAAAGTGATAATTGAACCTTGAGATGCATACTAAGAATGCTGCCTACCTGTTCAGTTTCTCAGGCATTGCTGGCTTGCAAGTCAATTCTGATCAAGATCTGGGAACCCCTGTTTATAATGCAGAATACTATTTCCCAAAACACACCCATTGCAGGCTCCATGCCATTTCTCACATGCAGAAAGCTTGATGTTAACAATTGTTAGTATTTAAGCGTTCCTTAAGGCTACGTTCACACTAGTTTGGGTCAGGAATGCATGCAGAATTGCGTGTTTCCAACGCACATTGAGCACTGAGACTTGCTTCACACGGGGGGGGGGGGGGTAATTCTTAATGACACTATCACACATTGGCACCCTTAGCACGATTTTTTCACGCACCAATCCACATGATGCCAACCATGTGTTTGGGTGTGACATGATTTAAAAAAAATGTTGGGGCCGTCTTTCCCCACATTTCTAATTCAAATGAATGGGCTGCCTTGCCCCTAACATGTGCGAGATAGTGCACAGCACTAGTGTAAACCAATGTTAAGCTGGCCATAGAAGGATCAAAAATTTGGTTGGTTAAGCAAAGTCCAGATTAATTTCATTTTATCTATGGCTGCTCCTGCTTGATTCATTTGTTAGAATGGGACTGCATTTTCATTTGATCAGCTGCTGCAGCACTGATCAGTGCTCTGATCAGAGGAGTCCCTGCTGTCAGAATACAATAGCACAGCTGGGAGGATTCCTCCATCTACCTCATTTTTGTGGATGGGTTAATCTGTTCCTTTTTTTTTTTTTTGGATCACACTTCTGGATCTGGTTAAAAAAAAAAAAAAAAAAAGATTCATTTATTGCCATCCCTACAATCTTCCACCAGAATCCTACTTGCCATTAAAGTTTGAATATACTTAGCAGTATGGAAGCAAAGAGAGAGATTTGAGTTTAGCACAGCTGCAGTGTTTGTTGGACATCATTAGTAGCTCACTGACTGCTTTCACCTATTGTCAGGAATGCCTTTTGTCTATCAAACATTGGGAAAATCTCCATTGCACAATTCACTTTTATTTCACATTTTCTACACCTTGTGTTACATATAGCATATATCAATAGATAAACTACAACTTAAATGCATTTCTTGTTTCCATTATTTCAAGTAAAATAACATAATGGGAAGCGAACTGAAGAATAACCAAATATCATTTCCATCTTACAGCCAAAGGGGTTGATTTACTAAAGGCAAATAGACAGTTCACCTGACAAGAATAGTTGCACTTTAAGGGAATGTTCCCCAGAGCTTTGTCAATGAGAAGAAGCTCTGCTGACTTCCAACATCCAATCACGTGCAATAAAAATGCATTTGTGTTTTTTTAATTTTTTCTTAGGTTTTCAATGCAAAGTAAAATTTCACCATATTCATTAAGATCTGGGGAAAATTTCCTTGCAAAGCAAATAGCCTATTTGCCCTAAATCAACCCCATTATCTCTTCCAGGATCTGAGCAGTTCACTGTTACAAACCCTTTTTCGTTCTTATAATGGTAACATTTCTGGGTATGATTGCTTGAAAGGTTTTTTTTTTAGAGGAAAGTGTGATTTCTCAGCAGATGTCATTGGAGAATGACTTCAAATCTAAAAGCCTTTTCCTGGCAGTCGGACAGAGAGTAGTATTACAGGTGATGGAGGAATAACATTACTCTAATATTTGTGGTGCAGGAAATCTCTTGAGCAATAGAAGGGATGATATCTAGAGGTAGGTTCATACACTTACCAATAATTTAATTTGCTTTGTAAACACATTTATTGCTTAAGATTAGAAATGGTTACATGTTTTCAATTTAAATCATATACTTGGCAAAATCTACTACAGGTTCTCTGATACCCATTAAATCCAGATACAACATTATTGAGCTGTTTAATTAGAAGTGTTCCAAATACTGCAGTTCTGTCAATTAAAGTGTAAACCTCTGAAATGAAAAATGAACAGAGCATATCCTGCTATAGTGTGCAATTGCCACAATCCAAAGCACAGTGTGTGATTTCTGTCTCCTCTCTGCATATGACAGGTCACCCGACACCACAGAATCTCTGGAATGATTATGCCCCCTTCAGCACACAGAAGGTGATTGGCAGCCTGAGCCTCAGTTTCTCAGAGAGACTATGGGGTTTATTACTAAAGCTGGTTCACTCAGAATCTCGTGCACTTCTGCATAGAAACCAATCAGCTTACAGGTTTTATTGCTAAAGCTGAATTAAACAAGCTGAGCT